ATGCCTTTCTCAAGTCTATCAGCTTGAAATTGTATGCAACAGACTAGCCCAGAATTTGAACATAGTTTGTTGATCCTACTTTACAAGCTGATATCCATTAACCAGTGACAGCAGGGTTAGGGTTGCTGGCACTTCAGGCAAGCCAAACTTCAGTGCCTTTACAAGTGTCATTTTTTTAAGATTTTCACAAGGAGAAAAACTAAAAATGTAGAATAATAAGTTTATTACAATATACAACTTAATACAATCTGAAGAGAACATTCATTATCCTACTTAAAATATTTTTATAGCTTTTAGATCTGCAAATCTTTTCATGGCAATTTCTACACCTATCTTCTTTACAAGATCATTTTCTATTGATAAAATAGCTATAGGATTTAATCTGTTCCGAGTCATGGATGACCGCAAACATGGTTCTATAAGCTTTAGTATTGGAAGATCCTGAACATGTGACATGGCAGCATGTTGACGACCTGGGTGACTGCCCAAGTTACCAGTACATTGAGCCAGCCCTGTCCATAACACTAGCTCTGCTCCCCCACATCATTTACTATATCTTCCTCTCATAACTGTAAGCAGGAGGAGTGGTTATTAGACTTAAATGCAATTAGCCTATAATTCAAACGTAATATCAATCGACATCCCCAGATGCCTTGATCTATCCCCTATCCTTCTCTTCATTCTTTCCTCTATCATTCCTCTTTGTTCTTGCTCCAACTCTGTAACCCCTTGTATGCTAGTGGCTTCTCGCCTTGCTTGGGGTGAAACATTTAACAAAAAGAAAAAAAAAATGGTCTTTGGTGTTCATTTGTAGTCTCTGTGCACACATTTCTCATTCTCAATTGATAAGAGATGACCAAGAATTTAGTTGAGCTGCTTTCTTAATCATTTTTTTTTGATATTGCCACTTTACAGAAATATTATGATTTTTTTTTTGTCCATTTTCATCACTAATTAAATCTTCTGATTAAGTGGCAACGTAGAGCTGACTTAAAAATTACTGCATTACTTTTTCCAGAAAAGAAAAAATCTTATACCTTAAAGTGGGAAAATATTGTTAGGCAAACCCTTCTCCAATTATGAGTTCCCAACTGATAAGATGAAACTTATGAGAGGTCAGTGTTAATTTATTTCTGTCGGTGCACCTGCATCACCCCACTCCATCCACTTGCTTTCTATGCACTAAATCAGTGGTTCTCAACTAGGATCCATATAGACCCTAGGGGCGTCTATCTAACATTACAGGGGGGTCCACGCAAAAAAAAATACCAAATTGGGGGTCTATGGTAATATTTTAGGGGTCCCCAGAGTAATTTCACTTTGAAACAGTTGTTATAACTGAGAGTTGCAATTTCTACAGAAATCTACACCATATTAAAATACTAAAAATAGAAAAGCAACTCTAAAACTATCAGAAAACAACACCAAGTGGTGTAAGTTAGTGTCTCTTTCATTCTACAAGATGTTTTGATTGTAAAAAATTTTAAAATCGTTTATTATGAGTTATTTTAATAGTGTACTATAAATGTTCCATAGAATTGTTAAATACAAGTTTATTTTCATTAAATTAGTTCTACTTTTAAAATAAAACATACATTTACTATTTCTATAATTCAATTACTAAACTTACCTATTAGTTAAAAAAAAAAAAAAAAGTAAAACTTTTTTTTTTTTTTTTTTTTTTCTTTTCCATTGAATGGTTAATGGGTCATTAAAAAGTGTCCAGGAGTAAGAAAAACAAAAAAAAAGAGAGAAACAAAATCTCTGGGGTCGAGGTTATAATTTTCCATCCACCCAATTGGATTATGCTTAATCTAAATCCCTAAACCCAGAATGAAGCATTCATGGTTACCTTGGCTCAGGCATTATGCAACTGCCATTCTTTTACCTAAAATCTAAAAGAATTCTCTTGAGAAAACCTGCTATAAATCTCCCACAATTGACTTTGACCAGGAAACCTACTTTCACTTTTAATTTTGGGTCTAACTTCTTTAGTTAACTTTTCACATATTAAACCTTTTTACTTCTCCAATTTTTATTTTTTATGGTCAAGAAATTTACTGTATACATCATGATATTATAATATCAATGTATACACTGTTCTAAATTGCTATCATGCACCTTGTTCTTGAACTGAGCTGTCATGGTAAAACTTGGTGTTAATGACTGATATTTGAGTATTTTTTAAGCAGTTTTATGTTTCTTGCTTTTACATTCCTAATGCTCTGGTGCTAGATAGCTCATCAGTAAAGGCATATATTTGGTCAGCTTCATGAGCTAAGGTAGGTCCTGTATTTGTTACCAGTTTCAGTGCTTGGTATTAAAATTCTCATTTTGTAGACTAATTGACCATCTCCAATGGTAGGTTTGATATAAACAACTTTCCTTCTTCGAGTTTTGACTGAGCTTAGCTTATGCCACAAGACCAAATGGTATCATACATCAAAGATAAATTAAACAGCTAATTTTTCAATGTGCTTTATTTTTCAGAGAATAGTTCAAATTCTAAATTAACCTGGTATTTATGTATACTTCTGTTGCGTGCCCAAGTGTCGTTAGGTCCTCTCACGTGCCCACTCATCATTAAGTCCTCTTGCGTGCCCATGTGATAGTAAATTCTCTTGCATATCTATGCAGCATTAGAGATTATTTTGTTGCTGCAAAAACGTTTTTAACTTATTTGTGAAATTTGATGAAAACTGAACTACTTTTTTTCCAGAACTTTTATTATTATAGACAGAAAATTTCTGAAATACTCAACAGCTTAAAAAATAAGTGAATGTTTTCAAGAAAAAATGTGAAAAGGCATTTCAATTTTACTGATGTTTACAAGAAAAATGGCAGAAAATTGTGTCCAATTGTATACTGTTCATGTTTGAATATGTGAAAGAGGGAGAGAAAGTAAGAGAGGAGGAAGTAATGGGGGTGGGGAAAGCACCATCATCTTTTCTCCTCTCTCTTCCCAAAATGTAGTTTTCTTTTTTATTTTCCTAGAGGAGTTGCCAGTCTGCATTTTAAATAATTGCCAGCATTAAATTGATCTAAAAAAGGAGTGACTAGCTTATAACTCCTTGAAGACAAATGTGTAAGAAGAAAGCTTAACAAATTCAAATAACTTAGAGAATTGATAAATTTGTATTACTTATAAGCAATTTGATATTTTATTATTTTTTTTCTAACAATAAAATTGTATTTTATAGGGAACCTCCTCTGAACTGCCAACTATGTTGACTGTTTATCTTGTTGCATTCAGAGTTGGATTAGGTTTTCTTTTCTCTCTGTTTTTTTTGGTACTTTTCTTGCTGCAGTTGTTCATGAAGAGCAATTTAGATCAAGTGTCTATCAATAAAAGCTCTTGATCAGTTTACAAAGTTAGCTCAAAAGATACGAGTTTCTTGTTATATTTATTGATTTTATTTATATGCTTTTGAGACAGTTTGAAATATTTTCTGTTACAAACACAGATAAACTGCTTGAAATATTGAGCTGATTATTATTATTCAAAAATAAATTTCTGCTTTGCACTGGTTACTTATTTCAATGGTAAGTTTGCTTGTTGGTTTTCTTGATCATGTCATATGTGCTGACTCTTTCAGTTTGAATATTTATTTTGTAATTACATATCTTTCATTGTAAATTAATTCTAGAGAAATTTGTGTCCTTTTTTGTTTTGCATTCTCCAGTGCTAGTCATGATTCTGAATTGTTTCTTATGGGCAGCAGTGAATGCTGGGATCTAACAAGTTATTGTTTTGCTTATTTACTATAGCTCTTCTCTTTCAGGTTTTATTGACTCTCAAATTGAAGTTATTTCCACACTAGGACTGCTGTTTTTGTTTTTTCATTTAGCTGTATTATTGTAATGCTTTTCTTGAAACCCTAGGTACATTTATCCTAGGTAAGGAGAATGCTGGCTCACTATAAAAAATAGACCAATCACTGTAATCCTCCAAAGGGAAAAGGATTGATCAAGACAGATTATTTTGGTTTACTTATTTCTTGTGGATGATAAACACTTCAAAGACCAAATCAGAACAGATATTTCATACTAAGTTTGAATACATTTTCTGCAATTACATCTAGAAATATAGAATTGCTTCTAGAATTACATCTAGAAATATAGAATTGCTTCTAGAATTACATCTAGAAATATAGAATTGCTTCTAGAATTACATCTAGAAATATAGAATTGCTTCTAGAATTACATCTAGAAATATAGAATTGCTTCTAGAATTACATCTAGAAATATAGAATTGCTTCTAGAATTACATCTAGAAATATAGAATTGCTTCTGTACATGCTATCTGCTATCTCTCCATTGATTTTTATAAACTTTTTTTTCTATAATTCTTTTGTCTTTTTTTTTTTTTCTTTGGTGATAACAAGGGACAAGTTTAATAATCCATTATGAAAGTTTTTTTTGTAACTCTTAAAATCTGTTTGCTCCATTTATGGGTTAAATAGCAGTGTAAACTAGGCATTCTGGCTTTGTTTAGCAACCAGTCTAAAACTTTGAATTCCAAACTAGAAGAATAGGAAATTCCTCCAATATCTTTTCTAAAAACTATATAGAATTTTACATTTAATAAAGAAAACAAATATGGGTCATTCGCCAGGGGTCAGGATTACCCATATCCTGAAGGAATAGGGCATCTTAAAAAAAAAAAAAAAAAATTTTTATATTTGAATAAAATGGAAAAAATTTGTTCTGATCCTGACCTCTGAAAAACATGAAAGTATAAAATTATTTTATTTTAATTTGTCTTTATCAAATGATTTTTAAATTTTTATTTTTAAAGAAAGATAAACAGACAACTGCAGGATTGAAATATTTTGCAGAAGCTATGCAGCTGAAATATGTTCTTATTTGAGATATATTTTTACAACTAATTAAGGATTGAAATAGGATAAAAAAAAAAAAAAAAACAGTTTGCGGATACATTATTTTGAAAATGGATTCCATCAAATGTTTTATTTAATATTTTTTATTTTATCTTTTAGGCCCATTTTGATGAAGAAAATGGTAAAGAATATATCTACAAGGAGCCAAAAGTAACAAGTTTAGCCGAGATCTGCGACAGACTTTCCACACTTTATACATACAGATATGGTAAAGAAAATGTAAAACTTATCATGGATTCCAAGAAGGTACCTTTTTTTTTCTTTTTTTTTTTTTTTTACTTTTTGGTCTATATCCCCCTCCCTCCCCAATCCTTCTAGAAGCACTAATTGAAGTGCAATTTTTGTTACTTTTGAGAATTTTATGATGGAATATATTGTTGTTGAGAGCATTTATCTATTTACCCCAGGAGGCAAGGAAGAAATTTTAGAGGATTCTTTTCTTCCAACATATATGATAAGAGAAGGATAATTTCCTGCCGTTTTATTTATTGTTGTTGTTCTTCAGGAATGAAAGTGTGTCATAGATAAGTATATTAGGAAAGAAACAAAAATTAGAAAGCAACTGATTTTGTTTTTCCACAAATTTAAGAACTTCAATTAATCTGAATTAAAATTTTATGGAAAATGTTTACTTGTTTTTACATATCTTCTTTCATTAACATATTCTGATAATGAGTATGTTTGTTTTGGTGTCTCAATATCTCTCTCTTAGTCATTCACACACACACACACACAGATATATATATATATATATATATATATATGTATGAGAGAGAGAGGGGTGGATTTGTTATTTATTAATCCACCAGTTTTATTAGTTAAACGTTATTTTTAGTGGATATTCATATTTGAGTTGACAGTCCATTTATTAAGCAGTATATTAATTTATTTTCATATAGATGAAAATAAATTAATATACTGTTTAATAAATGGACTGTCTACAGCCTTGAATTATCAAGAGATCTTATTGAAAAATATGATTTCTCCTGCATATCAACATGATATTAGAAACAATATAACTGTAATCCAGGCAGAGTTATATTGTTTCTAAACTGTATGGTAGAAAGCCATGCCATGTTAGGAAGACCCTATCATTAACAGAATAGGTCTCAATGGCACCCCAACTTTGAGTTTTGGGTAAATCATAGACACAGGGACGAATAGAACTTGAGGGTCTAATTAAATTAGAAATGTCAGTGGGTAATTTCCCAGTTTTAACCTACTTAACTAAACGTTTTTGGAACTTAGCCTCAATAGATAATGTAGAATCAAATTTATCTAATTATCTATTAATTTATTCCTTTAAATGTAGTTGTGACTCAAACTACATAGGGAGAACAGCTCAAAGGATGGATGTCAGAATAAAGCAACACATTCCAACAAAAATCCACAATCTGAAGTTCACTCCTTTAGACATTCTGACCAATACATTTGGGTTTTTCATCCATCACAGAACACGTAATAAATAGCCATAATTGTTCTACTAGTTTCAATGTGGACTCATTTAGGATTCTTAGCAAGACCCACTCAAATTACCACTTTTAAAAGTGTTAGAGGCCATTTATATTTTATCTTTGAAGCCCTCTCTGCGTAAACAGAAGGACTTCGTATGAAGCCTCCAACTAATTTTCATCTAAGCAATATTTTTTCCTCCCCACCCCAATACATATTTCCATCTCTTTTTAGTGATAATTCTATTTATTAATCCTGATTTACTGAATGTGAGACAATAAGAAAAACAGAAACCGTATGAAGGAGTGAGAATAATAAAAGAAAGGAATCAAGAGGACAGAAGATAAAGTTTGACATTGCATTTAACTTTTTTAAGATCAAAGTTGGTTTGAAAACATGAAGTCCGAAGAGAGTTCTATAAGTGAGAATTTTTTTTTTTAATCATTTCACCCCAAGTAGAGCAGTATGCAAGGGCGTGAAAGTGAAAACAGAAAGAGGAAACTGAGAATGGGGAGATTTGAGAAAAGGACAAAAAAATGAACTGGAGTTCAAGATGGTGGTTGACATTGCATTTAATTTTTTGAAGATTGTAGTTAACTATACTGACTTTTACCTAGGATTGAACTCACAAACCTTGGCTAACAAATTAAGCTCTTACTCCTCAGCTTAATGGATGTGTTTTAAGCAGTGACAGAAGCATATTTCCCTTACTGTGAAAGTGGATTTAAACATTAGGCAGTATTTAAATTGGATAAAACTATCTTCTTAGCTCAAGAACATGTAAAAATAAGAAAACTAAAAATCATCAAGCAATACCGAAAATCACTATTATTTGATAACAAAGTTGTTTGGCTAAAAAAAAGAAGAAATGTTGATGTTACATTGAGAAGTTTTGACAGAGCTGAAACCAACTACCTGATATGCTTACATATACTAATGAACTAAGCACAATAAGTGACTCTACATGGAAGAATAGTTTCATAGTTCTAAGAAACTGTAGCAGACAAAAACAAAAAATAAAAATAATCAGAAAAAAAATTATCTGGCAGAGAAAATAACTATAATCCCCTTCCCAAACCAAGACAAATTACTAAATAAACAATCGGATCTTACTTCAAAATGCAGAAATGGAAAATAAATTACTCAAAAACTGGAAACTAAAAATGAATACCTTTATGAAATATCACCAAGATAAATGCAAATATATGCAAAATATACAATGCATTTAATGTTATATACTTTTTCAAAGCACATAACTGACCCCTTCCCCAAGGAAAAAGATATATAATAAACAAATTAACTGTACAAATGCATGCATAACCACAGCTAAGTGAATTTAGTAATAATAATAATCAATAATGAATATTTAATGCATAAATACAGAATACTCTAAGTAATGAAAAATGAGTTAATGAATAACCCTATATAATAACTATAATAACTGCATTCTGGCCCATAATTATTTCTACTCAATAACCTTTAGAATGATTTCAAATATAATCATTTACATCTATCCAATAAAAGTTAGCATAATACAATAAACTGAAAACACTTGACCTTGCTAGCCATAGTACCCCATTGACCAGCATATCATAGTTGGGCTACCACCCAACACATATAGCCTGAGAATTATGTTCAAGGATGGAACAGAATGTTGCCACTCTTACTGCCTGAAGAAACGTCAATGGCTGAAACCATGGTAGCGTAAATGGTTAATGTTCCTACATTTTAACATTTAAAAGCTCTGCACATTCAACTTTTTTAATTGTGTATTGAGCATTTTTTAATGTAACCATTTACTGGTCTAATTTAACTCTGACCAACAACTGTTTAACTATTGTTGTATACAATACAATATTTGTGTTTGCAATTTTGTCTTGAGAATATTTTTCAGTTGTAAGTTGTCTCCCTTGTTATATTGAACCTCTGTTATCCATGGTTTAAATTCTTCTGACACAAGGCCAGAAACTTAATGAAGCAAAGATGTACTATCTGGTCTGGTTGAAATGATTCCTTGTATCAAGTAAATTAATTTTAAGCTGTTTATCAATCACCCATTTCCCATCCTCCCCACATCCAGATAAATGCAATTTCAAAGTTTTATCTACAAACTGACTCCCCCTCTACTCTATCATTCACTCTTTGTTTCTTTCAGGTAAATGTTGAAGAATTGGATCCAAAATATGCCTTCATCCAGGTGACATATGTTACTCCATATTTTAGCAAGGAAGAGGCCAAAGAACGTCAAACAGAGTTTGAACGAAACAACAATATCAGAACGTTCATGTTTGAGACGCCCTTCACTAAAAATGGAAAGGCTCAGGGTGCGATTGACGAACAATACAAATTGCGTACCATATTATCTAGTAAGTTGGTACTTTTCTTTTGTCACACACATACATAGATATATATATATATAATAGGAATTTAAAATTACCTCATTGTTATTGTCATTTCACCTTAAAAATCTTTGTAAGGGAATCTTAACTTGTAAGATGAAATGATCATAAAAATGAGGTAATTTTAAATTCCTATTGTAATTTATATGATCTGTTATAATAAATACATTGAGCTCTTTTTGTGGATCATTTTTAATATTTTATATTATTAGGATTCACTTGGATTATATACCAACAGATTATTACCTCTGTGTGTGTGTGTGTATATATATATATATATATATATATATATATATATATATATATATATATTCTGATTCATCAGGTGCTGTCATTCCTCAATGCCACATGTTATTAAATGCTTGCTTTAAAGATTAGCAAACAAATGAACAAACAAACCAAACTACTGGATTTAAAAATTTAACATAATTTTTTTTTGAATTTCTGGGAAGAGGAGTCATCATTATTTACATTCAGACTATTGACCTCATCTTTGTTGTTTTTATCACATTTCGGCTGTTTCACGAATGACAGCAAGACTTCAAGAGCAGCAGCTATAATAAAAGAGAAAAGTCTCAGTGAGTTCAGCCAAGTATATTTACCCAGCCTCCTCACCAAGGCTGGATGTAACTCAAGGTTGTTTTCAGATGGGGAGTTCCACATGCATATTTACACATATGGGCTAAGACCAAAATTGTTTTTTTGCCCAGCCCCTATGGCCAATGTTGACATTGGTATTACACCAATCCAGCCTCTGTAAAGCAGTGAGGAATGTACTGCCAGAAGATTGGAATCCTCAGGGCTGAGCAATTTCCCCCATCTAAAATGAGGAGAAACACAGCATCAAATACAGGGGGGGGGGCAATAACCACATCTCATTAAACCTACATTGACACTGTGCCAAACATGAAAAACATCAGCACTCATCAGCAGGCAGGTTAGGTTTAAGGCTCCAAGTTCTCCACATAATTCTCTGCAAATCACACTTTAATCTACTAGGCTATTGTCCTATGAGACAATAGCTTAGTGAATTTGGTGGCATAATAATTCAGAGTTCAATCTCTGAGCTGGGAAGTATGTACTTGAACTCAGTGGTAACAAGGTGAGCAGTACTGAAAATAAGAATCAGACAGGATATACTTAGGCAGTGGAATGTGAACAGTCTACCCCAGTAGATTAAATAAAGTGTTCAATTCAGAATTCCCTGTAGGTTACCTGGATCAATATACACAATGGCCATTCTGGACAAAAGTCTAAATGTAAATAGTGGAAATAATCTCTCATGAGGGAAAATAAGACTTTACTGGTGAAATGTTAATGAAGAGATTAGATTAAAATAGTGAAAATGAAAACTTTAACTCATGAGTACACACAAAATCTATCTCATGAAGCTAGAATTGCTGTTTCTTATATAGAGTGAAGGAGAAATACCTCCCACATAATAGTAAATCATTAGTGGCAATGATGTCTTGCCATTATGTGGGAGGTATTTCTTATATAAGGATTCACAAGAAATGATGAAATACGTTTTTTGATATTTGTTTTAGACTATCAGCATAAAATTGTGCAAGAATTCAATGACACATTTGTCTGTGACTTTACTGCCACAATGGAGAGAAAAATCTATTTATGTTTGGCAAATAATGTTTTTCTCCTTCAGTAAAGTTAGACAAGTAGGTTTCATTTCGTGAAGTGAGGCACTTAGGTCCCGTTCAGTGAAGCGCGGCCCTTAGGCCCCGTTCAGAGAAGCGAGGCCGTTAGGTCCTGTTCAGTGAAGCAAGGCCCTTAGGTCCCGTTCAGTGAAGCGAGGCACCTTTATCACAACCCTCTGTATGGATATATATGTTATGGTTGTTATTTTATCAGTACTTTCTCTCTTTATTTTTGTTTTTTATGCCAATGCTCGGATTGATATACAGCTGGATGTAAGAGGAAATAGCAATAAAAAAAATGTAGTGAAACTTCATTAGAAATAAGTGAAAATGTTTAATCTAAAATGACATTTATTTTTAAAATAATGAAAGTTATAATCTGTTGAACTTTAACTGATCAAAAGATTTTACTAAATCAATTTAAAGATATTTAAGTTATTGAAAAATTAAATTTCAAATCCAAACAGAAACAAAGTTCTTTTTAGGAAAGCAGTCTCAAATAAATTATCTTTGAAAATCTGTCAGCACAAAAAATGTTAAGAATTCGTTTCCAGATAATTATTTTTTATTTCTCTTTCTTTTCAGCCTCTCATACATTTCCTTATGTGAAAAAGCGGATAGAAGTTGTTGAGCACAATGAGCAAGAACTGTCTCCCATCGAAGTTGCAATTGATGAAATTCAGAGCAAGACAAACGACCTGAATGAGGTTGTGCGTGCTGTGACGCCTGATGTCAAAAAACTGCAGCTGAACCTTCAGGGATGTGTCAGCGCACAGGTGAGTATGACAGTGCAGTCTACACATACCCCCACTTTTTTTTTCAATTTCTGCAAATAGAAAGGGATTTGGGCAAGATTTTCTTTTATGCCATCTAAAGTAATTAAAAAGATACATTTATTAAATCCAGATTCAGGACTTTCCACTCCTTGGAAGAAATCCCCCTTTTCTGAACATGCCTTCAGTGGTGTAGCTATACTAACCACTCTTGGCCAATTGCAGGTTGGTGAGGCTATTTAACCCATAGTTGGAGGTTTTGAATTCAGAGTTGTCCTTCTATACCGGTTGCCACCCAAGGCTTTAGGACCCAGTCAGTTCTGCTATTTTACCCATAGCTTTGGGGAGAAGAGATGGATTCATACCTTTCCCAAGGGTATTTTCACATAAGTGAATATAATGAACTCAACTGGAATTCAAACTTAGCTCTCCAATTTCTCATTTCAAGCCATTATCACTTCACTGTGCCTATCTAAGCTATTAAAGCAGGAAGAAAAGACTTAACTGTAATATGACAATGTATGGTCATCAGCAAGAGAGACAACCAAAGATGAAAGCTTCAAATTGAAAGCATCAGAATCACGATTTTTGTATTCACAGACAAGATCAGAACAACCAAATATACCTTCCAGAAACTAACCAAAGTATTAAGAAAAAGGATAGTTTTGTTAGAAATAAAGAAAAAAGTGTTATCTAATATCTGTTCATCTTTATATGGCAGTGAATGCTGAGCAATTTCCGTAGAGAAATATTTTTGAATTCATGATCTATGCAACCTGTCAAATGAATCTAATCAATTTCAAAATTATTCAACTTGATATTGAAATGAAAGATCAGAATACTAAAATAGTGTAACAAGTAAAGGGACTCTCTCTCTATATATATATATATATATATAGGGTGTATCAAAAATACTTTTACAAACTTTGGGGACAGGTATCCTCTGTCACCTTGAAAGACTTGTAATTGGTTCCAGGAAATGTGAGAACACTGGAATTAAGTAAAACCAGTTACATAAACATACAGAAAACACCACCCATGAAAACAAATGGAGGAACATTGCTAGGTACTACTTCCATAAATATATATATATATATATATAGTCATGTGGCCACAATGCCTTCCAGAAAGATTTTCTCACCAAGTATCATGGCAGTTGTAGACTCCTAAATTTTAGCACACGTTAACAATATTTTTTTATTTTTATATATATATATATATATATATATATATATATATATATATAAAAGTGGGGAACATATGATAATGGGTCTGTTTGATGGGTCAAAACTCATTAAATAACAATACAAGAAACAAAACAAA